CCTGCTGCTTTTGCCAAAGTCTCCCACACATTTTCCCTTGGTTGTCTCATGGGAAAGTCTGTCCTATTGCCCAAGGCAACAGGTGAAAGAATGAAGCACATGAACACTATCTGTCTGAACCCCATGTCCATGTCCCCACCCTCTGTGAGAAACCCCATGTCCATGTCCCCACCCTCTGTGAGAAACCCTGCAATTCAGCAACACCCAAATAACACTTGATTCCTTAAAAAAAAAACCCCAAGTCTCTGAGTTGCCAATCATTGTCTGATGAGACATCTGCAGCATCGCTGGTTTCTTTCGTCTGCGTGCTTGCCTCTCTGCTTCTCGGGTCCACGTCCACTTGTGTCTGCACCCGATAAGGTTTCACGTGCCTTGCTGATACCCACTTCAGTCCTCGCCCTATGGAAACACAAGCGAAACCCTTGCCCCAAGTTATTAATGCAAATGGGCCTTTGATTTGTCCTGACTCTTGGATTCTGACCAAAACTAAAGGATTCTCCCTTAGTTTTGCTTGTGTGCTGTTTGTAAAATGTCTGACAATTGGTGGAGTGGGCTCTGAGAAAGAGCCATTTAAAAAATTCAACACATACAGAGCTTTGTTCAACTGCATATAAGGTGTTGCACCTGCCTCCCCCCTTTTCTGTTTACCAAAATGGATTTCAGGGTGCGATGTGTTCTTTCAATGCTTGCTTGACCTGAGGGAGAATAAGGAATACCAAAAATGTGTTTGACTCTCCATTTTTTCAGAAATTTGTCAAGCACCTTGCCTGTGTAAGTTGGACCATTATCTGTTTCTATATCTTGTGGCACCCCTAATGATGCAAATGCTTGTAAAAAATGTCTGCAGGCATGTTCTGTGGTTTCCCCTGTATGTCATGATGTAAAAATTGCCCCTGAAAATGTGTCAACTGAAACATGAATGTTTTCAAACCTCCCAAAGGATGCATAATTGTGACATCAGTTTGCGACAGCTGAAGGCGTTTTCAAACCTCTCGGGCTGACCACTCCTATAGATACAGGAGGCTGCACAAACTGGCACCGTGGGCAAGCACTGAAGACTTCCTCTGCCTGGCTTTTAGAAAGGTGAAAGGATTCCATCCATGTTTGTGCATTTTTTTGAAAAAATGCTTGGCTCAATTTTACTTGCTCGAAAATGTCTGCTAATGTCTGTGATATGGTCATTGTGAGTCTATCTGTGTGAGCATTCCCTTCTGCTAAAAACCCTGGAAGTGAAGAATGCACTCTGATGTGTATAACAAAATATTTATGTTCTCTGTTTTCTAGGATGATTTTCATGCACAATAGATATGAATATAAAATTTAATTGTCCATGTGTTTTAGAAGTGATTCCTCTAATTGTTTGACCACATTTGCAACATATGCTGAATCTGTGATCAGATTGAAGGTTCCTGAAATAACTGAAAAATCCTGACTACTACTATCAATTCTAAAATTTGTGGTGAACCCTGTACCATTTTGATATCTGATTCTCATTTCCCCGTTTTTGGATTTTGCCATGTGATCTGTGAGTTTTCCCTGAATCATCAGTGAACACTGTCACTCCTTTCACCGGCTTATGACTTACTTTTGGTTTTTCTTTAAAACTTTTTTTTGCGTTTAACATTTTGTGAGCTGGAAAGTGAACTGTGCAAACTCCTGGATACCCTAACAACATGATTGAAAAATCTTGTGACTTTGCATTGTCCACTCAAAATATTTTTCTTTAAGGGTAAATGAATGATTGAAAAATCTTTGCCTGACATTGTCAGCAACCTGGTCCTTGCCTTAATAATGATCTGAGCTATCATCTCTAAATCTGTAATAATTGTTTTTGAGGGCCTATAAGCCAAAAAAAAACCCCAACCACTTTCAACTCCTGTTAAAACATTAGCACAATCCTTGTTCAAAGTTATTAATTAGAATTATTTTTTCAATTTGATCTGTCCAGTGTCTGGGACTCTCCTCCCATTTCTCTAGATGATCAGTGAAATCAGGTCTACAAAAGAATTATTTCAAAATATTAAAATATACAAAATCTTCATCCTCATTCCAGCCTTATTTCAGGCACTTCTTCACTCCTTTTCTTTTTTCTTTTTTTCTCTTCTTCCCTTTTAAAACAGGAAGGTTGAAATATAAAACATAATATAGAATAAGACAAAATACCTGAGTGATAAAATGCATAAAACCTATCAAAATCGATAACAATTCAAGAAAATTCAAAAGAAAGAGATTCTAAATAGCATATATAAAATTGAACAAAGCATGATCATTAAAAATATGGTGCCAGCACTTCAGAGTCTGCAGACAACTGAAACATTTGTTTCCAGTGAAAATCCTTGGCATCCCTTCCCGGGCAGGGCTTGACAAGTTTCACCTCAAAGCTGTGTCAGCTGTCACATTTGTAGGATCGAATTGGTAGATCAAAGTGATCTACATATAATTCATTTTTGTGCAAAAACCTCTGGATTTTGCTGGCAAAACTCATCTGTCCAACTTAAAATCAGGGCCTGGCCAAAACCCAAACTTTAAATTGGAGTGATGTCCTTTAACATATTATCTTAAACAAAGCTTATACCAACAATACATATATGATACTTAAAACATGACAATTCATTATAACATTTTCACATAAAATAAACACGAAGTTCAAACTGATAAATTGAACAAATGACACAAGGATTCAATTTTCTTGAAACTTCTTTGAGGGAAAAGAAGGTCAACTGGAAGAAATCATAAGATTAACAGTGACAAAAGGCTGTCAGAAGGCTTCAGGCATCTCCCTCTGAAATCTTCTGAAAAACATTTGAGAATGATAAAAAATAGAAATGCAATGATACCAGTCACAAAAGATATAAAATCAAACCAGAAAGTTCACCTAGAAAAATGCACAATATAGTTAAAATCCCAAATGAGACTTCAGAATGGCATGCAACCTGGATAAGATTACATAAAGGACAATAAAACATACAAAAATTCTCTATGAAAAAACAAAGCACAGGGCTTCACCTGATAATATGATAAAATTTCTTAACGATAACATTTATAAAACACTTAAATAGTTAAAAAATAAAATATTTGAAAACAAACACCCTTTGTATCATTATACAAAGAAATAACAGACTATAAAACTGACTATTAAACAATGAAATCAATCTCAAAAAACCCAAAATAAATTCCTTTACAACTCTTATATACTGATAAACTTATAATAAAATAACAAAGACTAAAACAAATCCAAGGATCCAATAGATTGTGTCTTCTCCTTAAATCAATGTTCATTATTATTTTGTGAGCTCTTTCAGTCAAAACCTTCTCATCCTTAAAGAAAAACAACTAAACTTTATTAGCTAAATAAACTTGACCTTTGAAAAACTTAAAATAATTTTTGAATCAGACAGTACTTAAACTCAATATATAAAAAACCTTGGTAAAGAATCCCTAAATTACATTAACTTTATGAAATCCATATGTATCAAATTAATAATATATAAATCCATTATCAATTAAACCTTTATAAAACTTAACTTTTTCAGGGCCCAAACCTAAAATAAACTTAAAGTGATATACTCTAATTAAACAATACTTAACTTAAACTCAAGCCAAACTATATAAAAATCAATTCTATCATTAATAAAATGTTAAAATGCAACCTAACTAAAACCTTAATATAATAAATTACTAAAATTTCTTGTTATTTAATTTTCTATTTTTATTTTCATTATGATAAAATATATCTTTTTCACATTGTGTTTCACACAATCCTAACCTATCATCACACTGGCTGGGTGTGTCTGCTGATCACGTTCTGTGACCTAACTGAAAAGTCTGGGGTTAGTGTTTAGAAACATTGGAGAAGTTTGGAAGAAACCCTAATGTTGCAATGATTTCAAAAGGCAACTTGGTTGCATCTCATTTTTTGGGCTGAATGTGTGAGTCCAATCCCTCAGCATTGCTGCAGGATATTTGGTGCAATGGGTGTGCTTGTAAAAAGTTGTTTGCTTTGGCTGATGAAAAGACATGGGCAGTGCACCACTCGCACTTGCTGTGGAGAGGCTGTGACCAAAGGGAATCCCTGCCTTGGCTCTGCCCAGCCCCTGCCTGCACCGGCATGGGTGGTTGCAGAGGGGAACATTTCTGGTTCAGTCACGCCCCGCTTCTACCTGCGTTGGGATGGCTGAACCTCTCTCTTGCTCGCCCTCCCCACTCACGCTCGGCGTCGGCTGTGCCGAGCCTGCGCCTGAAATCTTCCTCTCAGAACCCAGCACCCACATTCTCAGCCACTTCCGCGTTCGCTTTAACTCTCGCAAATGCATGCGCAGCCTGGATTCACCGCCTCTGTCTGCGTCGCCATGGGAACGAGGGAAGGAACCCCTGCCCCGGCCGCGCCCCGGCTGCACTGGCTTCGGCGCGGCCGCGCCATCGTGAGCGCCTCCTCCCTTCTCCCGGCCAGGCCCAGCGCCGCTCCGGTCCCGCTCTGCAATGGCAGCATCCAGCGCAGTTCCACGCTCTGCTGACGTCATCAGCGCGCCCTCGCTGCGTCCTGTGCTGCCGCGACCCGTACAGTGTCCCGCCCAGCCCCGCGCCGCACAGGTCTCCCCCCACGGCCGCCGCGCAGTCTGTGCCCGTGCCGCGCTTGCGACATGCGAGAAATTCCGTGAAATGAACAGGGTCTATGCCTTTATTAATAGACAGCTCTTTATTAAAAAGTCAGCTTGGCAGGGGGCTCAACGAGGAGCTCGCCCCCGCTGTTATAGCTTCTCCCGCAGCCGAAGGGTGAGCAGGCGTGCAGAGTCTGTCCCTGGAGTCTCCGTGGCACGCTGGTAGCTGGAGGTGAAGAGGTGTGCAGTCCGTATCTGAAGTCCCAGCAGACCGTCCTCTCTCCTTTCCTCCCGGCACACTGGTGGCCGCAGGGTGGGGGGGATGTGCAGAGCTTGCTGCCGAAGCCCAGCAGCAGCTGTCCCTCTCCTTCCCTCCTGGCAGCACCAGGAAGTGTGTGTCAGCTTTGCTCCTGCTTCCCACAGCCCAGTCCAGTCTCGTCCTCTGTAGGTTATGGTGACAGGTCAAACACAGACTAGGGATGGGGTTCCCTTTTCCCCAACCAGCACACCCATCCAGCCCCCTCCACTGTGCCCATCTTTTCCATTTAGGGGTGTTTTTCATCCCCAAAAACCCCCTCCCATGATTCCACTGTATTATTTTGCATCCCAGTCCTAGAATGGTAGTGAGGGTGGGGGGAGGTAGGTGATTCCCAGGAACAATTAGCTAATTAACATTTCAATGTCAGTACTTAGCCCAAGCCAAGTGTCCCAGCCAGGCTGTTTTGTTCATAACATTCCGCATCCCGGCTTCCAGGTTTTGCTCTACCGTCGCATGCATGCGCGCTGCCATCGCCGCGGCGAGAGAAGCGTCCCGTTCTCTCTCTCAGCCGCCTGCCTGGCCAGTGCCGCCACTGCGAACCGGGAACCGCTCCCCCGTGCCTGCTGGGCGGCTGCTTCCACGGTTTCACGGACCCTCATCATGGAGTCCGTCTCGGGACGCTCGGGATGCATGACCGCCGCAGCCGCGCTCCTGCCGCCTTCTCTGCTGGCTGGCGTCATTCCTGCTGCCCCCCCCTCCCCCCCCCCCCCCCCCCCCGCTCTCGTCTGCACTGCGGGCTGTTTTGAATTCCCCGCCTCCCCGCCTGCACAGCTGCCAGAGCACTCTCTACTCCCTCTTCCCTCCACTCACGTCTGTCCTTCGGAGCATCCCTTCCCCATGTTCTTAATTTTGACTATTCTCACCAAAAGTTGAGTCAGCACGAGGTCAGTCCGGAGATGGCACTGTCCATCATCCAGCAGGTCAGAGGCGAGAAATCCCAGGCTCACTTCTGGTTTTTCTCCTCCTGGCTGCCCTCCAGAGGAGCTGTCTTGGTGAAGGTCAGGATGTTTTGTCTCAAGCTTTCCGCTCCCTCTCTCTGTGGAGTCCTCGGAGAGTGTGTGTGCCTTTTTCCAGTGAAGGTTGGAGGTCGTTTGATGGATTGACTTCTTGCCCTTTCTGTTTGCCGATCCAGGGACGCCGTTTGTCGGAATCTGTGGTATTGATGATTCCAAGATTGTAAAAAGTCTCTGTCTTTCTGCCGTGTTGCCAAAGAAGAATTCATAATTCGTCTGTGCTGGTTTTCAAGGTTGTTTATTCTTGCTTATCTATAACATGTTCTGCTGCCCTGACGCAGGTCTGTCCTGCAGGGCAGCATGCGGGGCTCTGCCCCTCAGTGGGATGTTACAAACATTATATACCAGAAACTACCTGTGCTATATTTACAAAAATGTGCCAATATCTATCATCTACGTTGAACAGCGTGTCCCCAGCCCAAACCAATAGAAAAATGCCAACACTACAGTGAAACATGGCAGGCATGAAGAAGGAGAAAAAGGACAAGACACACCCAATTTCCTCCATCTTGTCCCCTTTGAACCCCTAATCTAGAGTCCTAAAATTTTGCTTTAGCACCCGTGCCACACTTAATTATTACTTATATCAAACACTCAGAGCTTGTAATTCATCCCGGTAAGATTGAAAACTCCTCTCCATGGACAGAGATCAGAGACAGTGTCTCTCGGGGCTCTGTACAGGGGGGTTCCTGACCCCCTGCCAGGGTCCCAGGTCTTTCAGGGCAGCCAGAGGGAAGCTCTGGATTCCCACACACAACTTGGTATTTGAGCATCCTGTGGGGGACAGCCAAACCCACTCCTCCCCCTTTAACTCTAGTACAGATATCGCCATGTGAGGGACAAAAACAGTTATGTGCTGTGCAGTCATGAACTTCCTGGCCTCTTGGGTCAGTACAACAATTGCAGCAACCACTCGCAAGCATCCTGGCTATCCTTTGCTCACGTTGTCCAGCTGTTTGCAGAACCTGCCTACAGGTGTCCTACAGTTTCCCAGCTTCTGCGTCAGGACCCCCAGGGCTAAATGTTGCCTCTCATGTACAAACAGTTCAAATGGCTTGTTTAAGTCAGGAAGCCCTAATCCAGGTGCTGTCATTAATGCCTTTTTCAGTTCTCAGAAGGCTGTTTGGCACCTGGGAGTCCACACCAATTGTCTTTTTTTTTTTTTTGTTTCTTTTAGGGCTTCATAGACAGGCTTCACTAAAAGTCCATAGTTTAATATCCACAGCTGGCACCACCTAACCACTCCCAGAAAGCCTCATAATTCTCAGATATTCTGTGGTTCTGGAATTTGGCAGATTGCTTCCTTTCTGTCAAGGCCAAGAATTCTCTGCCCTTGACTGGTCCCAAAGCCTGAATAGTTCACAATTCTCTTTCCTATTAGAGCTTTTCTTTTAGTTACTCTGTAACCATTCTGTCCCAGAAAGTTCAACAGACTTATGGTAGTTTGTAGGCATTGGTGTTGGGTCTCTGCTGCCAGCATAATGTCATCCACATACTGTAAAACTGTTCCTTCGGTGTTATTTTTTTCCATTGTTCTAATTCTTTTGCTAGCTGATTTCCAAATATTGTTGGACTATTTTTAAATCCCTGTGGTAGGGCGGTCCAGGTTAACTGAACTTTGCATCCAGAGGTGGGACCTTCCCATTCAAAAGCAAATTATTGTTCGGCTATTTTCCTCCAAGGGTATGCAGAAAAAGGCATCCTTTAGGTCAATCACTGTAAACCATTTATATTTCCATTTTAGTGCTGCCAAAAGTGTTTATGGATTAGCTACTACTGGATGAATATCTGCTACTATTTTTTTAATGGCCCTTAAATCTTGCACTAACCTATACTCCCCATTTTGCTTTTTAGTGGGTAATATTGGTGTGTTATATTCTGATTCACACTCCTTCAATAACCCGTATTTAAAAAAAAAAAATTGTGAGCTTTTCCAGCCTCTTCCTTGCCTCCCAATTAATAGGATATTGTTTTTGCCTTACCAGTTTAGCTTCAGGTTTTGGAGTAATCCTCTCTGATTTGGCCGCTTTTGATCATCTGGGCATTTCACTTGCCCATACCAACAGGGTCACAGCATTCTCTACCTCCTATGGGATTTCTTCCAATTCATTTGACTCCTGTAACATAAAAATCCTTGACCAAACAGCTTTTGATTCTGGTATTTAAATTTGTATTTTCACATCGTGAAAAATTTTTTGAATATCCAGTTTTCCTCATAAATCTCTCCCCAGCAAGGGACCTGGGCATTTGGGCATACATAGAAACTCATGAGTAATCCAATTATTTCCTAATTTAAATTTCATGGGTTGTAAAAAGGACTAAGTTTTGCTTTTCCCTGGAGCACCAATTACATTTACCACTGTCTTGGTTTGAAACAAATTAGGAGGAAATGTCCTGAAATGAACGTGACCTCTAAAGAGAGGTAGGTTTCAACAGCCCCTCCCCCACAGGTTCAAAAGGAATTTCTTGGAGGAAAATGAAAAAAAACCTCTGTTTATTGAAAAAGCAGAGTGCACACAGGCACGGAAAAGAAAATGAATATTGTTAGAAAATAAACCTTATCATTGTGGAGAAAGATGGTGGATTTTTAGAGTCCTGCTCAGCTTCTCCTAAGGTCTGGAGCCAGAATGTGGTATCCCTGAAGCCTTCCCCCCGCTGGGCCACGGCGTGGGGCTCCTGGCAATGTTCAGGTGTTTTGGACTGGAGCAAAGCTGAACAGCTCCAGAAGAAGTAGTCACAGTCCTGGGAAAAAAAACTTCTTCCCTCAGCTAACAAAAAAGAAGCTAGCTAAAAGCAAAGACACAACTACCTTTTTTTTCTGCTGCATACACAGAGCTGAGTGCTGGGGAAAAGCCGAGGGAGTTACCTGTGTTTTTGAACACAGGCCACGGAAATAATTCCACTGCCTCCACCCCCCTCTGAGCTTAAAGTTACAGGACCTATGTCTGGGCTTAAAGCAGACAATAGGGGATATAGTATCATAACATCACCCCAAGACAACCACATTCCTATGAAGTTTCCCTTTGCATGTATTCTATATGGAATAAGTTTCTCCTGTGTCCACCAAAAATTCCACTTCTTTCCCCAACCTCAGTGTAACCAGGGGATCAGCTGGGGTAAAATCCTCTGGTCCCATTCAATCTTCATCTTCTAACAGTCTAATCTTTAAGACCAGGTCCAGCTTTCCAGCCTGTGTGCATTCTCCCTTCCAATGCCCCTTTTCCCTGCAGACTGTATACTGGTGTCCTAGTTTAGGGCAAATTTGGGGAAAACCCCCTGAAAGGAGCCCCCAGGAAACCCCCACGGCCCCTCCCCACCCACCTGGTTCAGGGAAAAATTCCCTCTGAGAGGGAAGTGGAAAAGAACCTGTTTATTCAACAACAAAGCACTCCCCAACACCAAAACAATTAACACAAGATGACAACAAGACTCTTTCACCCCTCTGAAGAGCTGAACGAATCCAGAAGGTCTTTCCTGGGAGTGGTCGCCCGGGTCTGGACGCTGGGGATGGCTGCTGCAGATCTCCAAATGCAGGCTCCTGGTGTTCCTTGGTGTTTCCCAGATCCCAGTCCAGAGCAGGTTGAATGATATTCAGAAAGAGGAAAGGGAAAAAAAAACAACAGTCCAGGGAAAGAATTGGACTGCTTAACCTAACTAGGAAGCAAAGCAAGAAAGCAAGAAAGCAGGCAAAGCAAGCAAGCCAAGCAAGCAAGCAAGCAAAGCAAAGCCAGCCAGCCAGCCCTAGCCTTTTCTAGCTTTCCAGCAGACATGGGGGAAGGTGAACCAGATGATAACACAGCAAAACAAACCTTCACTTTCAGAGTCAGTTCTGAAAGCACAGAACATAATATCAAACGTAAACAGAACACACGATTGGAGATACAAACACCATAACAGTCACCCTAGGACATTCCACCCCTTATCTCCATATCTTCAACATCATGTAAAAACTCCATCAAGTTAAAACTTGTATCTTTCACTTACTCATTTCCTTCTTTCTCATGTCTGTGTGTTTCATGCACAGACATTGGCAGTAACATTCAGCAAACAGTGATATTTGCACAATAGTTTCACCCCACAATCAGATCTCCCTGAGGTACACATCGTGTTGTTCCATCTCTCTGCATTATCCACCATGTACAACCTGGTCCCTGAGCAAAGACAATCCCACGAATGGGTTTGTCTGTACTCGAGGCAGGATTGATCCACACTGATTTTCCTAACAAACCTCTGACATGTGCCACTGGGACTTTATCTCCATCTACTATATTCAGGGGCTCAGACTGGGCAGGACCTGCTCGATTGGTGGAACCTCGGCTGTTAACTAACCAGGTGGCCTTTGCTAAATGTTGCTCCCAATTTTTGAAAGATCCCCCACCCAATGCTTTTAAGGTGGTTTTTAACAGTCCATTGTACCTCTCCACTTTGCCTGCAGCTGGTGCATGGTAGGGGATGTGGTACACCCACTCAATGCCATGTTCCCTAGCCCAGGTGTTGATAAGGCTGTTCTTGAAATGAGTCCCATTGTCTGACTCAATCCTCTCAGGGGTACCATGCCTCCAAAGAACCTGCTTTTCAAGGCCCAGGATGGTGTTACGGGCTGTAGCATGAGACACAGGATAGGTTTCCAACCATCCAGTGGTGGCTTCTACCATTGTGAGCACGTAGCGCTTGCCTTGTGATGTCTGGTGCAGTGTGATGTAATCAATCTGCCAGGCCTCCCCATACTTGTACTTGGACCACCGCCCACCATACCACAGGGGCTTCACCCGCTTGGCCTGTTTGATGGTAGCGCATGTCTCACAGTCATGGATAACCTGAGAAATACTGTCCATGGTTAAATCCACCCCTCGGTCTCGTGCCCACTTATAAGTGGCATCTCTACCCTGATGGCCTGAGGCATCATGGGCCCATCGTGCTAGGAACAACTCCCCCTTGTGTTCCCAATCGAGGTCTATCTTTGACACCCCTATCTTTGCAGCCTGATCTACGTGCTGATTGTTTTGCTGCTCTTCATTAGCTCTACTTCTGGGGACATGGGCATCTACATGGCGAACCTTCACAGGTAGCTTCTCTACCCGGGTAGCGATATCTTTCCACTCTTCAGCAGCCCAAATTGGTTTTCCTCTACGCTGCCAGTTAGCTTCTTTCCACCTCTCTAGCCACCCCCACAGAGCATTGGCTACCATCCATGAATCAGTGTAGAGGTAGAGCTTTGGCCACTTCTCCCTTTCTGCAATGTCTAGGGCCAGTTGAACGGCTTTGAGTTCAGCAAACTGGCTTGATCCACCTTCTCCTTCAGTGGCCTCTGCAACCCGTCGTGTGGGACTCCATACAGCTGCTTTCCACTTCCGATTCATCCCTACGATGCGACAGGAACCGTCAGTGAAGAGAGCATAGCGTGTTTCCTCTGCTGGCAGTTGGTTATATGGTGGAGCTTCTTCAGCCCGTGTCACTGGTTCTTCTTCTTCATCTGCGACACGAAAACTTTCACCCTCGGGCCAATTTGTAATTACTTCCAAAATCCCAGGGCGATTCAGCTTACCAATATGGGCACGCTGCGTGATGAGAGCAATCCACTTGCTCCATGTAGCACTGGTGGCATGGTGGGTGGAGGGAACCTTTCCTCTGAACATCCACCCCAGCACCGGTAGTCGGGGTGCCAGGAGGAGTTGTGCTTCTGTGCCAATCACCTCCGAGGCGGCCTGGACTCCCTCGTAGGCGGCCAAGATTTCCTTCTCTGTTGGGGTGTAGTTGGCTTCAGACCCTCTGTAGCTCCGACTCCAAAATCCCAGTGGTCGGCCCCGAGTCTCATCAGGCACCTTCTGCCAAAGGCTCCAGGACAGACCATGGCTCCCGGCTGCAGAGTAGAGCACGTTCTTCACATCTGGTCCTGTCCTGACTGGGCCAAGAGCTACTGCATGAGCAATTTCCTGCTTTATCTGGGTGAAAGCTTGCTGCTGCTCAGGGCCCCAACAGAAATCATTCTTCTTGCGGGTGACCAGGTAGAGGGGACTCGCGATCTGACTGTACTCAGGAATGTGCATTCTCCAAAAACCAATGGCGCCTAAGAAAGCTTGTGTCTCTTTCTTGTTGGTTGGTGGAGACATGGCTGTGATCTTGTTGATGACATCTGTAGGAATCTGACGCCGTCCATCTTGCCACTTCACTCCCAAGAACTGGATCTCTCGAGCAGGTCCCTTCATTTTACTCTTCTTGATGGCGAAACCAGCTTCCAGGAGGATTCGGATGATTTTCTCTCCTTTCTCAAACACTTCTGCTGCTGTGTTCCCCCACACAATGATATCATCAATATATTGTAGATGTTCTGGAGCCTCACCCTTTTCTAGTGCAGTCTGGATCAGCCCATGGCAGATGGTAGGACTGTGCTTCCACCCCTGGGGCAGTCGGTTCCAGGTATACTGCACTCCCCTCCATGTAAAGGCAAACTGAGGCCTGCATTCTGCTGCCAGAGGAATGGAGAAAAATGCATTGGCAATATCAATAGTGGCGTACCACTTCGCTGCCTTGGACTCCAGCTTGTACTGGAGTTCCAGCATATCTGGCACAGCAGCGCTCAGTGGTGGAGTCACTTCATTCAATGCACGGTAGTCCACAGTCAATCTCCATTCTCCTTCAGATTTACGCACAGGCCAAATGGGGCTGTTGAAGGGTGAGTGGGTTTTGCTGACCACCCCTTGGCTCTCCAGCTCTCGGATCATCTTATGGATGGGAACCACAGCATCTCGAGTTGTTCTGTACTGTTGACGATGCACTGTTGAAGTGGCAACTGGTACCTTTTGTTCTTCTCCCTTCAACAGTCCTACTGTAGTTGGATTCTCAGACAGTCCAGGCAAGGTGTTCAGTTGCTGGATGCCCTCTGTCGCTACAGCTGCTATCCCAAATGCCCACCTGAGTCCCTTTGGGTCTTTAAAATATCCCCTTCGAAGGTAAGCTATGCCCAAAATACATGGGGCCTCTGGGCCAGTCACAATAGGGTGTTTCTTCCACTCATTTCCTGTCAGACTTACATCAGCTTCCACCACGGTAAAGTCCTGTGATCCACCTGTCACACCGGCAATAGAGACAGATTCTGCCCCTACGTGTCTTGATGGAATTAATGTGCATTGTGCACCCGTATCAACCAAAGCCTTATATCTTTGTGGGTCCGATGTGCCAGGCCAGCGAATCCACACAGTCCAGAAAACACGGTTTTCCCTCGCCTCTACCTGGCTAGAGGCAGGGCCCCTCTAAGCCTGGTTATCCTTCTTGCCTTGGGCGTATGTCTTAGAGGTTCCTTCAAGGGGATCAGACATGTCATCATCATCATCATGCCTGGCAGTTTGGCTACGGGCAACTGGAGCTGCTCTCCTTTTGGTGGCACTTCCTCTCTGAGTCTTACCTTCCTTCAATTCACGCACCCGTTGTGCCAGAGCACCAGTAGATTTTCCGTCCCATTTCCTCATGTTTTCTCCACAATTGCGCAGGAAGAACCACAGCTCAGTTCGTGGGGTGTACCTTCTCTCACCATCTGAGGAACGTCTACGTTGGATACCAGAACCTCTGATCTGTACTGCTGAGATTTGGAGAAGGTCCTCCTTTATCTCCTCCCTGAGTCTCTTATGATTCTCCTCTATCTTATCTTCTAATTTCTGCAGACGTGTTTCCACTGCTGCAATTCTGGCATGGGTTGGGCCATGTACAGCATCTGCATATGCTCGGAGTTTCCTTGCCATTTCGAGCACGGTCTCATCCCTCTCATCTTGCTTCATTATTGCTAAGGCAGAAGCGTAGTCATGTGGCCCAAGCCGTACAAGTTTTCGCCACATCACAGATGTACATGGTACCAAGTCTGGATTCCTAGTTGTTATTTCATCTGAGAAGATAATCTCTGCCACTGCCATTTCTCTCAGACGTTGGATCCCTTGTTCTATAGTCTTCCACTGGGTTTGCTGCATATAAAGATCATCTGCACACAGGTATCTTTGTGCTACACTTTCCAGAACCCGTGCCCAGAGGCTGTGAGGGTTAGCCCCCCTCATCATTCCTTGATCAATAACAGGATCATGTGACAGGGATCCCAAATGTCTTGCCTCAGTACCATCCAGAATTGTAGCCTCGCCTGCAGCATCCCAAAGACGGACCAACCAACTAATTACAGACTCATCAGGTCGTCGGGTATAATCCTTCCTCAGGCCACGAAGGTCCTTTAGGGAAAAGGACTCAGTATTGGCCTCTGATCTTGTACCAGTTGCTTTGACTTCTGATTTTATGTCAGCAGGCATTGAGGGTCCCTCTCCTGCATTATCATCATCATCGTCATCATCCACTGGTCGATTGGTCTTTTCTGTGCGCTTCCCACTTCTTGTACTAGTAGCAACAGCCATTGGTTGAGGCTTGGCTGCTGAGTCTGGTTTAGCTGCTGGCTTTGAGCCGGGGGTGTTGGCTGCAGCCTGAGTGACTGGGATAGCTGCTGATT